GTTGTGACTTATTGTAACATAATAAACATTTAAACATGAGTGAAACCTATTTGCTGCCTGAATGTTTATAGCTAGTAACTACCCGCCTACTGGGGCGTGGCCTCATAAACTATTTACCCAGATGCAGAAGCACGTCTGGCCCTTCTATCCTCCCCCTGGGCCCCATTTTGCTGTTCAGTTTGCTTTGGATCTCATCTTCATCCATCGTTCAAGCAGAGAATCCTGATTTTGTAAGTTTTACCCCTTAATAAATGCTGGTCTCTTTCTTGGTTCTGAGCTAGTGTGGGATTCCTTTTTTTAAGCTTCTGATCTCTCAACCATCACCTATTTGATAACTTTATTTTTAAATATCTATTTTACACACACACACACACACACACACACACACACACATATATATATATATATATATATATATATATATATATGCTTACACACATTTCATAGGATATTTTAACATGAGGCATCAGATCCCTTAAAACTGGAGTTGTAAGGATTGTCGACCACTTACCACAGCTACAGAGAATTGAACTAAGGACCCTGCAAACGCAATACACATTTTTCACCACTGAACCATCTCTCCAGTCAACTTTTTTCTTTCACCCAGAAATAAGAACAAATGTCATCTTCCACACTTTTAATATAGTTCCACATATTTTAAACATAAAAGATGTTCACTTTCTGTGCTGCTAACCTTGGAACAATCAAGTCTGAATTATGCATAGCTATAATTCCTCAGTGAGAAGCCAATGACAACAAGAACCACAAATATAAACTCAGATGGTGTCTACATTCATGTAGAAACTGTATTCAAATTGTGGCTTGATAATTCAAATTTCTCCTTAGAAGATGGTTTCATTTTTAATTTTATACCCTACCGAGAAAAAAGTATCAAACCTAATCTACACAGATGAGGTAAAAAAGAACTAGAAAGAACAATTAGGTATTTTAAAGTCCATTATGAATGAATAGTTTGGGAACTTTATTTATTTCTATAATCGTATAGCACTGTGTGTTCCATCCTTCCTTTGTAGAGCAATATCTGAACACGGGTTATGGAGTCAGTGAAGAATGCACACTTGAATTATTAGTAAGGTCTTCAAGTACACTTTGAAATGTCTATGTCTTCAAGATTATCCAAATTCTAAATTTTGAAGATCAATCCTCTGGTGTGGGGTTGGTAAAGATCTTTTCCCGTTGGCAGGCTGACCTTTGTCTTATGGAATGTGTCATTTGCTGTACAGAAGCTTCTTAGTTTCAGGAGGTCCCATTTATTTATTGTTTCTCTCAGTGTCTGTGCTACATGTGTTATATTTAGGGAGTGGTCTCCTGTGCTCATACATTGAAAGCTTCGTCCTACTTTCTCTTCTATCAGGTTCAGCGTGGTCAGATTTAAATTAAGGCCTTTAATCAATTTGGACTTAATTTTTGTGTGTGGGGATAGATATGGATGTATTTGCATTCTATTCTGATATCCCATCTTACACCAGTCAGAATGGCTAAGATTAAAAACCACCAATGCTAGTTGACACTTGAGAAGATGTGGAGTAAGGGGAACAGTCCTCTATTGCTGGTGGAAATGCAAGTTTGTATAACTACTTTGGAAAGTAGTATGGTGGCTTCTCAGAAAATTGGGAATCAACCTGCCTCAGGACCCAGCAATACCATTCTTAGGCATATATCCAAAAGATGATCAATCATACTACAGGGACATTTGTTCAACCATGTTCATAGCAGCATTATTTGTTATAGCCAGAACCTGGAAACAACCTAGATGCCCCTCAACTGAAAAATGGATAAAGAAAATATGACACATTTACATAGTAGTACACATTAGAGTACTAGTCAGCAGTGAAAAAAAATGACATCTTGAATTATGCATGCAAATGGATGGAATTAGAAATCACTATCCTGAGTGAGGTAATCCATACCCAGAAAGAGGAACATGTACTTACTCACTCATAAATGGATAGTAGCTGTAAAGCAAAAGATATTGAGCCTATAGTCCTTGATCCTAGAGAAGATAAGTAATAAGTTGAACCCTGAGAAAAACATATATAGATCTACCTGGAAAGGGGAAATAGACAAAATTGGGAGCATGAGGTTGGAGGGAGTATGGAGGGCTGAAGGGGAAGACTTGGGGAGAAGAAGAGGAGGGAGGAGAACTTGAGGGAATGGGATAGTAGAGATGGAGGAAGGACAGAGGTGAGAATAAAGAAAGAGATATCTTGATTGAGGGAGTCATTATGGGGCTACCAAGAAAGCTGGCACTAGAGAAATTCCTCAAAATCCACAAAGATGACCCTAGCTAAATCCCTAAGCAATAGAGGAGAGGGTTCCCAAAGTGGCCTTGTCCTGTAATCAGACTGATGAATATCTTAAATATCACCATAGAACCTTCATCCAACGACTGATGAAAACAGAGGCAGAGACCTACAAGGGAGCACTGGACTGAGCTCCCAAAGTCCAGCGAAAGGGCAGGAGGAATGTGAATATGAGCAAGTGTCAAGACCACGAGGGGTACACCCACTGAAACAGTTTACCTGAGCTAATGGGAACTCACCAGCTCCAGCCAGACAAGGAAGGAAATACCATAGGTCCAATCTAGTCCCTCTGAATGTGGGTGAAATTTGTATGGCTGGTGCAGACTGCAGGGCCACTGACAGTGGCACCAGGATTTATCCCTACTGCTCATACTAGATTTTTGGGAACTCTTTGGATGGATACCTCGCTCAGCTTAGATATAGTAGGGAGAGCTTTGAACCAACCACAAAGCAATGTGCCTTACCCTCTCTGAGGAGTGGATCAGGGGGTGGGGGTGGGGGGAAGGTGGAGAGAATGGGAGGAGGGGAGGGAGTGGGAACTGAAATTGGTATGCAAAATCAAAAAAAGATAGTTTGTTTTATTGTTAAAAAATAATAAAACAGTGAAAGAAAAAATAGAAAGAGAAAACCCAACAACCTTACTAAAGGAGAACAAACTCTTTATGGGGGCACTGAGATAATTTTAGAATTTTTTTTCTTTTAAGCATAATATTTAAAATGAATTGTTACCTAAAAAAAAATTATCGAGATTAAATTCATACAATCCCTTCTCAGACTCAGAGAACATCATGGAAGAAGGAACACCAAGGATGCAAGAGCTAGAGAATAGGTACAAAGGCTGTGAAATGCTGTTTTGAGGGTGTGACACAGCCACTGCAAATGTGATTTCACAGCAGACACAGGTGTAAGTTGTGTGCTCCGGGCCTGCAAGAGTGAGCCTGTCAATAGCCCATGATGGATCAGAGATTTCTCACTCTCCACACTAAAATATTGGTAACTGATGGATTTGAACCTGGGCAAGCAAGGAAAGTCATTGTCTTCTTGTGTGTCTTAAAAGGTGAGCCACCAGACTCTAATGGGTGGTTTCAAATCCTAGACATACAGATGATCCTGCATAAAATCAGTGGACCACAAAACAAAACAAAAAAACATGGATGTTGGAAGTGATTTTGGGATGGGTAGGTGAGAAGACAAGTCAAAGAAAAAATAAAAATAGTGGAGGAAAAAAAGTTAATTGCACTAAATTTATGAATTACATAAAGAAACAAATTTAATTAATAAAAATGAATATTAACCAAGTTGAAAATATCATATTAAAGACTAGTCATCAAGTCTGCAAATTGAAACCAATTAATATTGTTTATTAATTAAACAATATTAATTAAATATTGTTAATTTTAACACAGGTGGTAATCAATTTGCGATAACTGGGTAGCACTGTCTGAAATAACAGTATTAAAATTACTGCAGTGAATCAAACTAAAGAGATGTATTCTCTCTCTTGGTTACAGAGAGACTAACTGAAGAAAGCTTATCTGTCATTTTATGACATCAATATTCATTATAAATATTAAATATACACCCAAAGTATTGATGGATAACCTATGGGACTATTGCGCAGTGGAGGAATCACCTGGAAAGAGGTTAGGTCGTTGCAAGCATAACATTGCAGGGGTATTGGAAGGCCTGACTCCTGCCCTTTCTATTTGTTCACCAGCCACCATGAAACGAATAGCTCTATTCTGCCATCTGTTCCTGCAGTCATGTCCTGCCTTACCCCAGATACTAAAGCAATGTGGCCAAATAGCCAGGAGAATAAAACCCCAGGCACTGAGAGGCAAATGAATCTTTCCTCATTTTAGATTGGTTGTCTCAGACTCTTCATCACAGTGATATAAAGCTGGCCAACAAACATTAAAGAGGTGAAAATATGGTGCTGGGAGCTAGCTCACTCAATAAATTGCTAGTCTTGCAAGCATGAGTACCCAAGTTCCACTTCCACAATGCATATTAAAAATACTGACCACACCTGTAAACTAGAGTTCAAGCAGCAGAGACAACAGATCGTGAGCTTCACTGTAAAGCCAGCTTTGTTTATTTGCAGAGGTCCAGGTCTGTGGAAGTCCATGTCTCAAATAAAAAGCAGACAATACCTGGGAAAGTTATACAATAGTTATACAAAACCAAATATACAATTTGGTTTTTCAAATTTCCTTTCTGCATACATGCACATCATCCATAAACTTATGAGAACCCACAAACAGGTGAATAAGTACACACACATGAACAGGAAGCATTACAAGTTCCATTTTATAAATTAAATATATAATTGTATGTACATCATATAATTCAATTAAATTTATGAACTCAATTTTCTCGTTTCTTTATAGTCAATGACAAAGCTATTTCAAAAGTTACTGTAAGGATTTAATCAATAAATGTATGAAGTATTTATTGGCTGTGTTATAAATATGCAAAATTGTTTTTATTATATGTTAAAATTTTATTCTTGAAATATATTACACTGCCATCAATTTAACTAAATTTTATTTCACACTATATTGTAAAAGTATAATTTATGCCTTCTAACAGTTTTTTAACTTAAAAAATAACTTCAGTTTTATTACTAGTATAATAATGGGCATTCAGTTCTAAAATCAGTGTTTCACTTTTCAGATGTACATTTTACTTCCTGGAAACGGTGATTTGGACGAAGATTAACACCACAACTTCTTCAAAAGAAGGTATCAGGGTTGTGGCATGATTACATGTCTCCTTGTCCCTGAAAATTCTTTCAGCTAGTGAAAGTTCTTTAGATATATGTGTGTGTGTGTGTGTGTGTGTGTGTGTGTGTGTGTGATGTATATGTATGTAGTACAAGCATGTGTTGAGATCAGAGGGAAATGTTCAGTGTCTTCCTCTCTTTCTCTCGCCTTATTGTCTTGAGACACAGTCTAGCGATTTTCCAGTATTCACCTGTATCCACCTCTCTGCATACCCCAGTGCTGGACATGCAGATATTCACAATCATATCTGTCTTCCAAACACAGGTGCTGGGGGTTTCAAATCACGTACACAGCACACACTGTTGCCTTCTCAGCCATATCCTCAATAATCCCCTTTCCTTTTTTTTCTTTTCTTTTTTTTAGCTGGCAGTGACTTTTCTTTTTGCATCAGACCTCAAACTCACCATTTTGAAAAGATATCAGAGAACTTCCTTCTGTTCAACAACACATATTTGCCTTTCCTGGACAATTTTTCCTTTGAATTCATCTGATCTTCCAACTAGACTCTGAACCTGCTGGCCATCACAGTTTTATTTCGATTTGTCCTCTGAGGTTTGCAACAGTACCAAACTCAAATTATATTTAAACCCTAAATAAACAAAATGAGTATGGAGAATATGCAATCACATATAATTAACTATGCACTAGCCTTATCTTTATAACTGCATTTCCTCCTCTGCACTAGACTACTTTGGAAATGTCCTTCATGCACACACTTATCACACAGAGGTCCTAATTAACAGATAAAATATTGAATGTAAACAAGGGTGACTGTTAAACTGAACCTTTTGGATAAAGTGTTCTAGGTACTAGGAGCAACTGAACTTAACTGACATTAATAATAACAGCAACAATGAAAAAGGGGAAATGATTTTACTGTCAGTTACTTACAATAACTGTAACAGTTACAGTTAAAATAAACAGACGAGAATAAATTCTTTTAGGTGTGTATTGATTCTGTTTGTGTTGTAAAATATCCGAATATGTTTCAAGTAGATCTGTTCATCAGTTTAGTGTGTTGGCTATCCATTCCAATGACAAATAGTGTGTGGATGGGTTTGGCAGACATTTTTATTTTAGCTTGTAGCTATTCATTTTATGTAAAATTATAGAAGTTTTTCATCATGATAGAGAACTCTATCAAAACAATACCTTATACAGGCATGTTTTTAGTCTCTTTTATAAGCTTTTTTATGCATACATTGCATTGTCTAAAACAGATTAAAACCACAGAGATCATATTCATGGGAAATTTTGTTTTATGCACTGAAATGTATTATTTTATTAAGAACCTGGCAAGGGCAAGGCTATATTTACTCTAAGATATTTGTTATATTTATAAAGATCCAAACTGCAAAATTATATCATTAAAATATTAAAATTAACCTGACTGCATTTTTCCAATGTTATTTAAGGGCAAACTTCTTGGTCAGATGTGCAAGTTTAAAAAGTATTTTAAAAAGTCAACGACAGTGTTTCTGTGACACATTTTGAACATGTGTTTGCCATGTAACTCACATGAGCCATCGAAGTTCAAATAAATACATAAAAACCTAGAAATTTAAAAACAATAAAATTTCCAGTGGATGATGAGAGATTTGGTTTGAGATATATGTTTTCTGTACATTTAATTGTGGATTTTACTCATTTTTCTTTCTAGTATTAACATCAGTATATCAATAATTGATATAATGATAATCAGAAGTTATTTGAACTAATGCATTTTTAGTTATTATTTACAGAACACTTTAAGACAATTAAATGAAATTATTTAGAGATTGCTTTATATCTTCTTAGTTACCTTGAAGAACATATTTTTTTTCTGCCTATATTTTCATTATTTTACTGACTTCAGAGAAATGCAACACATTCTAATTTTTAAGTCTGTGTGTTTGAAATTAGAAGTAGTCAAGCCCTTATTATTTTATTTAGTGTAATTAACATTTTCAAAATATTTTAGACCAGGGTTGTACATGAAAATATCCCCAAACAGAGAATTCGGATTAGAATAAGTAACACTGTTTTTTTCCCATTAAACATCTTCAAATCAACTTATTAGCCTAGGGTTCAAGCACTTAATTTAATTCTCACATACAATAGGGTCATGAAATAAGCACTGAAAAGCTTCAAATATCCTCATGAAAACAGACACTGGAAATATTCTTCACTTTTAATGCTTTTACTCATTTTTATTTTTAATGTTCATTTTTATTTTCTGCTTTGTTGCCTGATATTTCTGTCCCACTGAGTCCTGTAGCTGTTCAGTTCCAAAGAAACATGCAGAGGTTTACATTAATCATAAACTGGTTGGCCTGTTAGCTCAGGCTTCTTATTAACTCTTATAACTTATATTAGCCCATAATTCTAGTCTCTGTTAACCACATGGCTTGGTACCTCTTATCAGTGAGGCAGTTTCTTCTTGCTTCCTCTGTGTCCAGATGATGAGTACAGACTCAATGTTTCCTCTTCCCAGAATTCTCCTGTCCTGCTTGCCCCGCCTATATTTCCTGCCTGGTTACTGGCCAATCCACATTTTATTAAACAAGTGCAACTTACAAACTTTACAGGTTATGTGATCATTGTCCTACAACATACCCTCTCCCCATTTTTCAAAACAAGAACTGTGAATCAAATCATCTTTGTTTAATGCTTTTCCTGAACGTTATCCATAACAATGGCAACCAACATTCTAAACAAAGACAAACATCCATAATTCATTTTTTGGAATGTGGGCATAGTTTTCTTGGCTACTTCCTGATGATTGGGAGCACTGATTAACTTATGAGGACCTAAAGAAAATTTAGAATAATGATCAAGTCCTGACTGGAGTATTCTGTGAGGCTTGATCTTCTCAGCCAGCAATCTTGAAACTGTTCAGGATGTATAACTTAGACATCTGGGCGTATCAGAGATTTCTCGGTGGTGGGTTCCTTCCTTGATCAAACCTGATTTTTCTTAACCCTTTTTCTTAACCCATTTAACTCATTTTTCTTAATAAAGTCACAGCCTCTCATTTCCTATGGAAACAAAAGAAAAACCTCTTCTTCAAAGTAACATTTTTTGACTTAAATTTCTAAGTCAAAGCATTTTTAGAATATATGTTATATTAATCCAGCAGCATTTTTAATCAAATGTTTTTACAGCTGTTGTTCCCTTCTCAGCCATCAAACCATTTAAATACAACACAATAACATGCAGTATCCCAACTCTCTGTGTATTTTTCATCTTTATTTTAAATTCTATTTCTTTTATTTTTATTTATTTATTTTTTTTGAATGTCATAACTCTATAATCTTCATTGCCTCATAGAATCACACATGCATACAAGCATTCTTTTTTAATATAATCTGTGATAACATACATATACAGCGTATTCCCAAGAGTCTCTACCTCTGCACACACTTTTAACATTCTTCCTTTATGTTTTTTTAAATAATTTATTTATTTGTTTATAAAAATTTCCACTTCCTCCCCTCCTCCCTATATCCTATCATTCCCCCCACTTCCTCTCCTCCTCCCTCTCCAGTCCTAAGAGCAGTCAGGGTTTCCTGCCCTGTGGGAAGTTCAAGTTCCTCCCCTCTCCCTCCTGGTCTAGGAAGGTGAGCATCCAAATAAACTAGGATCCCAAAAAGCCAGTACATGCAGACAAAACAAGACCCAGTGCCATCGTCGTTGGCTTCTCAGTCAGCCCCCATGTCAGCAACTTTTAGATCACATGCTCGTCCAGTCCCAGTCCAGCTGGCCTTGGTGAGCTCTCATTAGATCAGTCCCCTTGTATCAGAGGGTGAACGTACCCCTCGCGGTCCTGATTTCCTTTTTCATTTTCTCCCTCCTTCTGCTCCTCATTTGGACCTTGGGGGCTCAGTCCAGTGCTTCAATGTGGGTCTCCGTCTCTATCTCCATCTATCGTCAGATGAAGGTTCCCTCTGGTCCAGTCTTTCTTGTTCACGTTCTCCCTCCCTCTGCTTCTCATTTGGACACAGGGAGTTAAGTCCAGTGTTCCAATATGTGTCTCTGTCTCTATCTCCATCCATCGCCAGATGAAGGTTCTATAGTGATATGCAAAATATTCATCAGTATGGTTATGGGATGAGGCCAGTTCAGGCACCCTCTTCTCTGCTGCCCAGGGAACAATCTGGGAACCTCTCCTTGGGCCTGGGAACTCCTCCAGAATCAAGTCTCTTGCAAACCCTAAAATGGCTCCCTTAGTTGAGATATATACCTCCTTGCTCCCATATCCATCCTTCCTCCCACACCCCATCCCATTCCCCCAAGCCATCCCCAATCCTCCCCCTCTCCCTTCTCTCCTACCATCTCCCCTTACTTCCACCATCCACCCACCGTGCACCCAAGTTTGCCTGACACTCTTGCCTACTTCCAATATCCAGGAGGATAACTATATGACTTTCTTCAGGTTCACCTTTTTATTTGGCTTCCCTAGGATCATGAATTATAGGTTCAAAGACCTTTAACTATGGCTAGAATCCACTTATGAGTGAGTACATACCATATTCCTCTTTTAGGGTCTGGGTTACCTCACTCAGTAAAGCGTTTTCTATTTCCATCCATTTGCATGCAAAATTCAAGATGTCATTGTTTTTTACCGCTGAGTAAAACTCTAATGTGTATATGTTCCACACCTTTTTTAACCATTCTTTTATTGAGGGGCACCTAGGTTGTTTCCAGGTTCTGGCTATTACAAATAGTGCTGCTATGAACATAGTTGAACAAATGCTTTTGTAGTATGATAGGGCATCTCTTGGGTATATTCCCAAGAGTGGAATTGCTGGGTCCTGAGGGAGGTTGACTCCCAGTTTCCTGAGAAACCGCCACACTGATTTCCACAGTGGCTGTACAATTTTGCATTCCCACCAACAATGGATGAGTGTTCCCCTCATTCTACATCCTCTCCAGCATAGGCTATCATTGGTGTTTTTGAGTTTGGCTATTCTGACAGG